CACTGTCCCTCAGCTCTTCAGCTCAAGGCTAGCACTCTACCACTTGAGCCACAGCACTCTACCACTTGAGCCACAGCACCACTTCCAGCTTTTTTTTTTCTGCTTATGTGGTGCTGAGGAATGGAACCCAGGGCCTCATGCATGCAAGGCAAGCGCTCTACCACTGAGCCACCTTCCCAACCCTTTAATCTTTCATTTTAAGAATAAATTAGCAGGCAGTACTTTCTGTATCCCAGCTGTCTCATGTTCCTTCTGGTCTTTAGTTTCTTTTACATTCATACTATTTTGGAAAAGCAGTCCATGTTCATTGTCTCTCCAGTTCTTAATCTCCTGTCATCACTCTACCTTACTTCTGTTTGTGTTCTCACTTGGTATTGATCACCCCTACATTGATCATTTCCAAGTTTTATCTCATTTAACCTGTCACTGACCAGCACTAACAACAATTCTTCAATTCTCTTTACCTGTATAAAAACCATTGCCTTCAGTTTCTTTCTTCTCATTTTGCTCTTCTGTGGCCTTTTTTCTGTGGCTGATATTTCTGATTTGGTTTTAGCTGTCTTTCTGCTTCTTGTTTCGACTCAGTTTTAAAATTTCCTGTTTCTCTTCCTTGCTCCAGTACATATCCAAATCTAACTCGGTATTTTAATTTAGAGCTTAAGCTCAACAGCTTAGCTGCTTTAGAACATACTCTCATTTAGATTTGAATGTTTCTTAGACCTCTCAAAATTAACATCTAAGCTGTTTTTTTTTTTTACTACCTGAGCCTAATTTTCTTCCTGTGTGTTTTAAAATTACTTTTTAGTAGCATCACTATTACTCATACTAGAAACATTTTTTGCAAATAGTTAAAATTTGTGTTTCTACTTCTTAGTTTATCTGACTATTCCCTTTAATGCACTTTTACTTCTAAATTCATTATTTTAAAAGCTCAATCTCGAATCCAATATAATTACATTAGTTTTGAGCATCTGTAATATGTCAGGTTTGAGGAATCAGTATTAGAACCTTGGTTATGAGTAAAAACATTACTCAATTCTAAAGGGAGAGATAAGACTAATCAAGATATTCAGATAAATGAATTATAGCTATAAACATACATATACTGTATATACACTATATTAAATACACACACACACATACACACAGTGCTATTAGAATCTAAAATAGGGAAAGACTGCTGAGGTATTGAAGGAAGCCTGACACTGGATGGTACTAAGATTCTAAGCAGAAGTTACTGGGGGGAGAGGGGCCACCTTCGGGCGCAAAGAAACATGTATGTACAAAAATCTGTGGTAGAAGGGAACATGGCATATTTATAAGGCGATTGACTGTGTTGATT